GGCACAACTTCATATTCTAGTGACTTTTTCTATAACGGTGGTTTCCGGGTCAATTTGTAGCACCTCAACTAATCCACAGGATACTTGTTACCTTCCACCAACACAAGTACTAGGCAACTACCAATGTCTTAGGCAGATGGGAAGAATTCACCTAGCGTCGTCTCTACTGGGATTTGAACCTTGGTTCCCAAGGTTGTCACACCAGAAGGCCATATTCTACTCTAGATGTCCCTTTTGTTCTCATCGAAGAAAGAATCAATCAATGCTGTTGCATCAATCCTTGAGAGTTAAGCAGTCATAATATCCTGCTCGGAGCATACATAACAGGCTCTACTTCAACTACAGAAAGCTGTTAACAGCATAAAATTAAGCATTTATGAATGTACGACAAGAAACAAGGTGAGAAATAGCTCATCTTAAACGTTTTTTCTTTTAAAAAACTACTGATATATTTAGCCAAATCTGTTTCAGAGAGTTACTTGCAGTTTCTGATGGGAATAAGTGACTGGAACCTGACGCACATTAGCCGGTGTTTAAAAGATCACATAGTATACTCACAGTTTGCTGCCCTTTTAATTCTAGAATCAATATGAGAAGGGTGAAAGTATTTTCTCATTATAGTTAAGGAACCTACTATAAATAACAGATTATAAAGGTCACCGTTAAAGACCTAGGAAAACACATGAACAGATTACGAAGAAGGGAAACAGAACGGTATCAACATAACAGATGTAATGGTTAACATGAGATTCTGCAGAACTTCCATAGAAAAAATATATCGAAATTTCAAAAAGAAGGTGTTCATCGTTCAATGAGATATTCTGATAGCACTAAGACAACCTTACTAACGTATATGGAAAGAAAAGGCACAGTTAGCTTTGTAGACAGAATTTAGTTTAGAACTTTAGATGCTATTGCTTCACTCTCATTTAAAAGAACAGTAAATCACCTAAAGAACCCTGCAGATGCTTCGCCCTACATCAAAAATTTTCTTTTAATTTCTGCAACAAGGATTTCTGCTCTTTAGTATGTGTCCAATATATGTGTGTGTGTGTGTGTTCTAGCACTGCCTGCCGACCTAAACGAAATAACAACCTTAAAAGAAAGAAGCTTCTCTTCACCAAAGATGCAACCCAGGCATAATAAATTCACCTATTTGCAAACTTTAACACAAAACAATAGAGAACAAAATTTTGTGTGCATTCAAGAATAGCTAGCATGTGACTGAGGAACATAACATAAGTAATTCCTAAAATTTTACACACGTGTTACATTAAGAATGATTTCCGTGGGAAACCCAAAGATCCAAACCTTAAAAGTAGTACGATCATGAAGCTCAGAGTGCCATTCTTCAGAAAGCGGATGACCACCCTCAGATATACATTTTTGCAAATTCCATACACAATTCACGATCCCGTACATCTCCCCAGCCTCCCCATCCCTTGAAACCAGCCTTATATCCTGCCTGGTGCTCATATTTACGAACTTCCCATTCTGGTTTGATATTTGCAACTTTATCAATTTCATCAACAATATTCACACCACCATTGTCAATACAAGCTACATTACGATTATGACCTTGATGCAAACCACATTTCCCAAAATGAACGGCACTGGTCCTAGACCCTCGTAGTGTATAAACTGGAGAACCAAACGAAGGATAAACTGTCGACCACATTGTTATATCCCAATTGTAATCATCAAATGAGCAAAATTCCGCTGCCTTTTTATGAATTTTTCTCCATACTGTCCGGTTAAATGCATAACCCACATTCCCCATCCTTTCAGCTACCAAACATTCCCATCCTTCTCCCCTCGACTTCACTTCAGATGGCGCAAGATTGGCAGCATAACAGTCGGGGCATTTTTTTGACTTCAACTCTGCAAGTAACTGCATATTGCGATATGCATTGGGATAAATGAAATGATCTTCTTCTATGAAGAGAATATGACCCGAGTGATGACGAGTCTCCTCTAGCCCATCCCACACAGTATTCATCATCCACCACCAATGATGTTTCAACGAGACAATTTTTGGCGACCGGTGGTTCCCATACTGATCAGGTGTTCCCTCACAGCGTTTCTCAACTGGATCATCTTTGTCTTTGCAATCTTTAGGAGATACACCTGGAAAGCCATCGGAAAAGATGTGTGGCGAGTAAGGAGCAAATATTTGTTTTACTTGGCAAAACTTAATGCCTTCCACAATCTTGTTCATCTCTTCAAAGTAACCATCATGACTAACAATCAGCAGAGTTTCACTGATTCCTTCTACCCGAGACAGGCTATCGATCACGATTTGAAGATACTGAGGTCGGTTATGAACATACAAAACAATAACAACATGATCCTTAGCTAACTTTGGATACAAATCCAAGTTCCTTGGAGGCATCTGATTTCTCTTACTCAAAATAATTGACAACTCATTTTGTAAGGGGAGTTTCGGAATCCTAGTGAGATGTGTAATAGTATCCTTAGCTTCTTCAATACTTTCAAAACTTTCAGTACTCTCATTAGTGTAACTGTTTATCAAATTAGAAACTGTATTGGTCCTAAGAAGAACTAACAGCAAAACTACTCCAAATACAGTAATCAGTGCTAAAGATACTAAACGCCTAAAAGCTGCATCTTTCATTCTTGCTTTTTTACATGAAGCCATAACTAAGTTACTACAACAGCACTATTTCTATAACACAACAACTCTATCAAGAACAAGAAATAATTCCAACTTGTTAAATCTAACAGTTAATTCCAAAGAAATGACATAAAAACAGTAGCTTACAGATCAAAAGGAGGATCAAGAAGCTACAATATGGTCTTCAAAGTTGGATTGTAAACTGAACTTCAACAATTTCAGTACTGGTCAAAATAGCCAAAACCCTTCAAATTAAAAATCTGAAAACTACAAGGGTTTTGAAGTTTGACCAATTCCAAAGTCAAATAATGGGATCAAAGATTGATCAAAACAATTTGAAATTAAAACCCCACTAAGGAAAGATTCGATTTTTTGAGTGGGTAATAAGAAAAATCGAATTTTGGAGGCTCAGATTTACCAAATTGCTCAAGAACAGTCCAAGGGTGCAGAGTGCAGTCCAGAAATGACTAAAATTATCAGTAAGAAAAGTCGTCAGGAGACAGAAGTAAAAGAACTAGATCTTTTGGGGGGAAATCTAGAAATAACGAAAAATTACAATGACTTTGATTTTTCATGTGGAAAATGGAAACTTCAACAAAAGTACAAAGGGGTTAGGTCGGTCACGTGACCTACGACTGGAAAAAAATGATCGAATAAATTGAAGTATTTTTTAAGTTAACTGAAAGATCACCTAATTGATCTAAAAGTGATTGTTCTAGCTCAACAACAACTTTGTGACTAAGACAATTAATATATTTATAAGCGGAGCTTGGATTTGAAGTTTATAGGTTCTGAATTTATCATCAACTCATAATCGTAGGTTCATAATTAAATATTTATATATATTTAATTAATTTTCTAATAAAAATACAAGGTATAGGTCAAAGTTATTGGGTTCGGCCCCGAACCTGTAGATGATACACTAGTTCCGCTTCTGAATATATATGCTCGCTAATATTCCCATTTAATATAGAGGTTATTTCTGTTATGAAAAGGAAATTAAAGGGTGCTTTCTAACATAGAAGCAAGAACTTGTAAATTGTGTTGTGTTGAGCAAAGATTAAGAAGAAATTACGGTTTAGACTTTGCGTTAAAAACAAGTAAAAGCCGTTCATATTCCACTTACGTTGGTTGATATAATTGACAACTAAATATTCTGAATGTTACATGCTATTTAACAAAAGTTAATACTCGTTTACAATTAAAGAATTCCTGCACATTTGCCAATTGATTACAATTTCTAAGAACCTGTAATAAGTTTATCTGTCATTTCTTAAATCGATTATGTTTCAATTGTTTATGTTAATATAGGTCATTATCAAATAATGACTATGAATAATAAAGAGAGTGACACTTAAATCCCTCCAAATGGATAGCAAATATATTCCCTTTTAAGACTAGACCAAAAGAGAGATCGTCCCTCCCAGGGGCAGACACACATTTACCGAAGGTGGTGTCACGTGATACCAGTTCGTCGGAAAAAAATTACTAAAAACATGTATTAATACTATGCGAATTTTTACATATAGGATAGAAGTGACATCACTTCACAAAAAGTCATCTTGACGTGCTGGTTTGGTTACGTGGCTGATTTTGAGAAAGTTTGAGGAATCAGTCTTAAAGATGAGTTAGAAATTTTAATTATTCTGATTGAACTAAGTAACAGAGAGACTTGGGACCCCAACTTTATGGAATATAAATCTCTGCCCTTCTCAATTATGTAAAAAGTTGCAGTTAGAAGACTACATCCCATTTTGTTTGAAATGGTAAAGGGTCCTTTATCATTAATTAGAGATCTTTGGCACGAGCTCTGATTATGGAGTTATCTTCGATTGGAAGTGTTAAAATCTCTCATAATGAGCTTTCTATGGCACCGAGCTAGTAAATTTCGAACACCAAATGCTTGAAGCAAGAAAAAAAAAAAAAAAAAAAATTAAGCTGGAAATCAGATTATCACAATTGCTTTAATATTATTATTCGTTAAATTGGAAATAATATTTTTTCCTGTTGTTAACTTTTTAACATCTACCATTAGTTTTAGGCTTTAGGACCAAAAATGTCCACTTTTTGTATACATTCTGTTAAGGGTATACATCAAGGACCAAAATAGCCCAACCCCTACGCATTAGATGGTCATTTTCTCTGCCCAGAACAATACACTTTACAGAAAGTAAACTTCAATTAATACTGAGATCCAAAGTCAAATGTATTTGCCAACTATATTCATCCTCTGCTCTTTTAGTTTCACAGCATTTCAATCATAACCAATAACCATTCTCCTACCAACTGTAATTTCACATTCAAACGAGAAATGCAGTAGATAACGCACACAACCAAAGAGAGCAATTTTGCAACATAAACGAAAAACAAGCAAGCACCAATGTTTCATGCCTATATTTCAACCGCATATAATGAACTTAAGTTTTGATGGAATAAGATTATAAGATATAGATCCAGCATTACAGGGACATATAAGAATGGTTTCAAAGAGAAGTCTTGATCCAGGAACCCAATAACAACAACAACAACAATAAACTCACTGTAATCCCATAGGTGGGGTCTGGGGAGGGTAATGTGCACGCAGCCTTACCCCTGCCTCGAGGAGATAGAGAGGCTGATTCCGATAGATCCTCGGCACAAGTACTTCAAACTCATCATTGCTTACCGAATGATCAAAACCATGGTAAGCTAAAGAAACTTTTAAATAACAGCTTCTCACTGACATTCCAAGTACTTCTTGCTTTTTGGGATATCAGTTCCTTATCCATCTCTACCAAATAAAGAAAAACCCAAGTTTTTTACAGACCTATGTAACATCAGCTTGAAGAAATTTTCAACTGAAACAAGATTTTAAATAATCAGTAGCGATCCACCAGCAATCTTACTCGCACAAAGTAGTAATAGAGAAGCACTCATTCCAACTCTTTAATTAAACAAACCATCGCAGATAAGCGGACCTCAACTTGCTTGGAATTGAGGCGTGGTTGTGGAAGTAGATATTTATGTTGCCACATGAACAGGAAGCAACACAGAGTAAAATACTTACTAATCTAGGGCCATATGGTCTAACGCTGCAGCATGATACCCCTCAATTGTTCGCTTCATATCATCAAACTGAGAAATGACATATTCTAGTTTCTTGCAACAGATCTCATTTGATATTCTTGGTACATAGTCACACTTCTCAAAAGGACGATATTCACATGCACTTTTGATTTCTTCTCGCAGTGTGACCTGGATGTCCTGTTGTAATTGGTAAAATATCACCCATTTAGTGCTCAAATTGATCTAGTTCAATCAGAACTCAAGAACAGACTCGGTTGTTCCAGACAAAAATAATGCTAATTGCCCATGACAACAGCAAACTAGTTACCAATGTAAAAGTTTGAACAATAAGTTTCCATTTTTACCTCGTAGAGAAATTTCACATTCAATACCAAATGGCAAATAAATGCAGATTCAAAAAGGACAAAAAACAGTAAGCAAACAAGAGAATTATCAGTCAGACATTCAGATGAGTAACAGCACGAAAGCTTGACGGCTTCTTATGACACATAACATGGTGTTGTTACAAGATACAAAGGTTCTAGAACATCCAGGAGCAAAGTAGTAAAGAATGTCCAAACCTTGATTAGTTGCATAAATTCACTGCAATGGTTGTTAATAAGTTCCTTCCTTGGACCGCTTGGATTTGCCATTTCATCCATTACACCTCCTGCTAGCTCCAGAACTCTAACTATCCTCTACAAACATCAGAGAAAGATACAAAATCAGCCGGTATATGTTAAAAATGTAGCAGTTACTGAAATCAGAACTCAAAAGTATTTTGAAAACAAAGATGCAAATGCAGTTACTGAAATGAGAAATCAGCCCATTTTAAGTCAATAGTTCTCTAAAGCATTTACCTTCTCAACATTTTGCAGCCTCTGCAATGAAGTATTCTGGCTTTGTGAATCCATATTGTTCTAAGTGGAGCTGTCGAGACAGGTGATAAAGATGAGTGAATTAAAAACAGAGATCGAGCTAGATGTGGAGAAATGAAACAGGATCTAGGAAAACCAGTTCAGTGCAGCTCACAGGGTATTTTGGTTCATAGCTCTCTGCAGTCAAAATAATTAAGGGATGTTCAGAGGAACCTTCCGTAATCAATGGGAAAAATAGAAGAGAAAACTTCCTCTAATAAGTGCGCTACTAGTCCTCCGGGATTTCTCAGTCATAATAACCTAAAATAGAAAAAGAACCTCCTGTAATAATTTTACGTAAATTCAGTAACCACCCCTATACGCAGTATAATACCACATAGTGGGTTCTCGGGAGAATAGTGTGTACGCAGACCTTACTCCTACCTTGTGGAGATATAGAGGCTATTTTCAATAGACCCTCAACTTAGGAAAGCATAAGCAGAACAGTAATAAAAAGAAAAACGGCAAGAAACAACAGTAAAAAGCTATGGAAAAGAATCATTAATAACAACAAGATAATAAGGTGACCGAAATGAAAGAAATAATAGATAGTAATAAAAACCTAAGACCAATAAAATACAAGAGTGCGTACTAATTCTACTGGTATGAACAAGGAAAATACTCGGCTACCTAACCTTCTACCATAATCCTCGACTTCCACACCTTCCTATCAAGGGTCATGTCCTCGGTAAGATGGAGCATCGCCATGTCTTGCTAATCACCTCTCCCCAATACTTCTTCGCCTACCTCTACCTCTCCTTAGTCCCTCCAAGGCCAACCTTTCACACCTGCTTACTGAGGCATCTGTGCCTCTTCTATTCACATGTCCGAACCATTTAAGTCTCGCTTCCTGCATCTTGTCCTCCACAAGCGCCACGTCTGTCTTGAATAACTTTATTCCTAATTCTATTTATCCTTGTATGCTCACACATCCATCTCACCATCTTTATTTCTGCTACCTTCATCTTCCGGACAAGGGAACTCTTGACTAGCCAACACTCACACCATACGACATAATCGGTCTGAACTTACCAGTAAGTTTTGGTGACACCTTCTTATCACACACCCATGTATTCTTCAAGAGTACAAAACTACTCCTATTTCAGAGATTGTTTTATTAAAAAAAAAAGGTTCTTCATGAATAGACAATAAAACTTCAAATGTTGAGATTTTGGAAAAAGAACTTATGTTTCTTTAATGAATGGACAATAGGTGATTCCTCCAGAGAACTCAAAGAGTAAAAGAGATTTTCCAATGAGAATTCTGAGAGCAAGTCATATAGCTCCATTCCCACCCACCCACCAAGTATGAGGCCACATTGATAAATTTCTATTTGGCAAGGAAAATAAACAAGTAATTTTGTGAAGTTAAAAGTTGTGTAAAACATCAAATATCCAGAACAGTTGGACAGTTCTTGAAAAGACAAAATTAAACATTATAAATTTTAAAGCAATTAAATAGAACCCTATTGCACAAAATCAAAAGGGCACACTAAAACTTATATAGTTTTAAGTTTGGTACATAAAATTCTTTTAGACAACTAGCTTGTATTCTAAAATAAGGAATAATGTTCTTTGCTTAAGCTCCATGATTAAGGATTAATGTTGATTCTAACCTAAAATAACTTAGCCAGTGAATTACACATTTTAGCCCATTCTTCTTTTCAATAGGGAATCAACAGCACAGGCAGCTACATGCCCACATCTCTTCAATAAGGGAATTACATATCTTTCGAACTAAATTTTAACCATGATATAATTTTTCAAAAGATAAATGGATATTTATCCATTTGTTGGAAAACAGATGGACGACAGCGTATAAGCAAATCCGTAGCGACTTAGACATCCTTATTATTTTAAATTTTTGTCCCTGGGAAAAGAATGGAAGGGAAAATCCGAAAAGAATGATGACAGAGTTGGAAAGGATTGTCTCTCACATTCTAGTTGAGAGTGAAATTGCACAAGATGCATGGAAATTCTTTATCACAATCACTAAAACATGACAGACAAGATGTTATACTTTTTTTGCATAGATTAGTAGTTGCTGAAAGCTCCAAAGACAATCCTCCAGGTTCAGTACAAAGTCATCCCCTTCTGGAAAGTCTGGAAAGCTTGGAAAGTTAGGTGCTCTTGCAAGTACCAGATTCTTGTCAACCTGACTAGCTACTACATGATGAATGAAATCTAGGATTTCCGAAAAGCAGCATTTTCAACTATCCCACTAGGAAACCTTGGGTAGCTAACCTCAACGGTATTAATGGTTCATCTATTGAAACCTCAATACCCCAGGCGATGAGGGAGTTTTAAGGTCCTAGTAGGTGAAATTGTCTATGCATATGCAGTGTTCCCCTTGTATTCTTGCAAAAAGAACCAGATGAGGCCCTCATATGGTTAAACTAACAGAGGTTTTTTTTTTTTTTTTAAATGTGTATCCTAATCATTGTGTTTTTCACTTACAAATTTCCAATTTCTCAATTTAGACTCTGAAAATCTATAGTTGCATATTCCATTTAACTAATCACTCCTACTTTTTTGTGGTTCATCACTCACTCACTTCTTAACTGGGGAATCACCCCCAATCTCTCTTCTCTCTCTCTCTCTCGCTCCCCACTATTCCAAATGATCATCTCAATAACTTTTCATAATTTTGTTCCCGAAAAAGAGAAATTCGAAATGTATAGCTGGAAAAGGAAACGGAAGAACTGAAAAGAACCTAGACGGCAAGTCGTCTGTTTACTGTTCAGGCATATAGAAGTGAGAAGCCAATCATTCCACACCTTCCGTCGCGGCGATTAGTAGGTGGCGGAAGACCAGCAATCGTCCGTCCTCGTCGCAGCTAGTGATAAAGGGCGGCTCTAGGGTGAAGCCCCGGCCTTAGGCCCCAAATATTTAAGCCCCAAACTTATGAAGTATATACTCCATATAATTTATATTTATATTATTATTAATAAAAAAAATCTTATTAAATTAAATAATATATTTACCTTCTCATCTATTTATTTTTTTTATGTATAGTCTATTCTAATAGGAGTATTTTTTACCATTTTACTTTTTAATTTTAACTCAGATTCTCTAAATTTGTTATTGCTTTTATTATATTTGATTGATCCATACATCAGGAAGCTAGTTCTTTTGTGTCTCATTTTTTTCTACTAAGAAATTCCCGAGGCAAGTGTTACAAGGTTCAAAACTCGATGAGTAATGGGTTCACTCTTTTACCAATTTCACTTAATATCATATTTCTGTATAGGGGATAGTTCAATATATCATGTGCGCCTAATCCACACATCATATGTTGCACTCTCACCACTAGATCAGAGCCATGTAAGCTTTTTTGTGTCTCGTTATTATATTGATTTTAAGAAAGAAGTTTAAGGGTCTTTTAAAATATTTTGGTTTTAGGCCACCGGTTCCGTTGAGATCACTGTCTTACAAAGATGTTGTTCAACCAACTTCATTCACATTTGGTAACTCAATGACACATTTAATACCTTTAGTTTTCTTTGTAATTGTTGTCTTATTTTAATATCGAGAATGTCAAGGGTGTACAAGTGGCTCAAGGGGAGGCTAACAAAGCAAATTTTGAGGCTTCAAAAAAAAATTAAATATTTTTCTTTTTAAGAAAATTTATTTGCCAAAGCGCCATTAAATGTAACTAAAGCACCGGCTATTTCTAAAATTTTCAACTGTTTTACTTTTTTTAAAAAATTTTATTTACCAAAGTGATGCTAAATGTCGCGCCAAATGCAACTAGTGCCGATATTTCGATTTTTTTCAAACTTCTTTACTTTTAAAATTTTATTTACCAAAGCGCCACTATTAACAAAAGCAAGGGGAAAATCCCATGAATACACCTCTTCCCTATATTATCATATTTGGAATGTCAACACCACTTTTAACTAGCGTTTGGCCATAAATTTCTAAATTTATTTTGAAAAATCTGATTTGGGCGAAGTTTGATTTGAAGATGAAAATGTGTTTGGACATTAGTTTTAAAAACATATTTCACTTTTTTTTTTTGAAAAAACATGAAACATGTCTTATACCCACAAGTTCTAAAAACTATCACAAATACCCAGCAATACCTTCATCAATAACATTCATTATATTATCGCAAACATAGTCCTGAACATAAATAAATTTGGTATAAAATTATCATTTTTATAATGAACTACATAATACACTATCAGATGAGCAGAAAGACGAAACAACATTGTTACAAAATAATAAATGGTGGACTCTTTTATAAAATACAAAAGTTTGGGGCATTTTTTTAAAAATGTAATAGTAATTGGGATTTGGGTTTGGGGAATTTGCCAAAATATAGATAAAATTTATGAACAAATATGTATTTGCCAAAAAAAAAAACAACTATATTTTGGCAAAATCTATGGCCGGATCCTTAAGCTTGGCCATTGCTTTTTGCTAATGGCTGGATAAAGGTTTAAGGATCCAGTCAGGTGATGCTACTATCAATCCTGAATAAGGCATTAAGATATAAGACAGCCAGAAAACACTTTTGTTCTGTATTTACCCTTTTGTTCCTATGTGTTGCAAATTGGATAATTAAGCAATAAGGTCACCTGTATACATCTAACTTGGATTCTATATTTTAGATGTGTAAAAACACTGATGTTTCTTAATTGTAGAAAAAGGAAGTCTTGAATATTGACTTGTCTATATGCTAATGATTAATCTAAAACTTATTGAAAATACCAAAATAGCAATATTTATATAACAGATGTAAGAAGTTATGACTTCATCCTTTCCAGTGGAAACAGAAAGCAGCACTTGTAAATCAAATCAGCCTTAATACAAATAAGATGTTTACTGGAAATTTTAATACACAGGCAAATTTGGTAAAGATGCAAACTTTTTCATAAATCTAGCGCGGGCATAGTGGTCATACAGATACGCAAAAGCAACATATTGGTAAATATCACATGAAGATACAATTTGCAGTAAAAAAATCTGCATAGCCTAAAGTTTTCATCTAAAACTTTGGTAAGATTCAGAAGCTTGCTTCTGAAAATGAGTGTCAAAAGGAAAAAAGATAGCACTTCCAAAATGTAGTAGACCTTTGCTACTTTTCCTTACATAGACACTTTTTCCTATTCGATATAAACCAATTGGTAGATTCCTTCTTTTTGAAAGCATTTCACTTTTTAAAGTTTTTCAAGGACTTATAAAGTACTGCTGTCACATATTTGGTGCGAAATCTGTGTGTTGAACTTAGTACTACCATTGATTGACTGCTGCGCGTTTTCTGTATGTAAAGATGGTTCAAAACTGCTGGTAATGGCTTCTGCATTGTCTCCATACTACTCCGAGACGAAGATGGTAGGTCGAGAGGTGTCTGTTGTAGCAGAGGAGGCAAATTGGGTAGTTTTTCGTTAAAATCTTCTGAACTGAAAGGGATACTGTTGTAGCTTGATGCAGGGGAAAGAGGTGCTTCTGAACAACTCGTGTTATTTAGGACCTCTGGAACACTATCCTGCATATCACATTAGTTGTAAGTATAATCATTGTGTTTGATTATATTATAGGAAAATGATAATGACAGAGCAATCGCGAGAGACCATCAATATACTTTTAATAGACTACATATTATCTGTTCTTCTGTTGCAAAGTCGAGAACTGACTGTATGAGGCCACAGTATTTAACAAGAGTACTTATGCGTAACTGGTAAAGTTATTCCCATGTGACCAGGAGGTCACGGGTTCGAGCCGTGAAAACACCCTCTTGCAGAGCTACAATATACTTTTGTGGTTCGACACTTCCCCCGACCCCGCGTATAGCGGGAGCTTAGTGCATCGAGCTGCCTTTACTTATGCTGAATTTGTCAAGAACTATGCGCTTTAAGACATAGTAGCTATAAAGAAACTTGTTTATACAAAGAAAACAAGGCAACATTAATAGCAGTGACACAGAGGAAAAAGTATTTTATTTTCAGGAAGCAGAACTGCAACCTTATCTTCAGCTACTGGTTTTATTTTCAGACATTATCCCAGTATTTCAATTTTCTCACTGCCTGACATGAAATATTTTACTATTTTTTTCCCTTAACATTTTAACACATAAGAATTTATGCTTTCACAACTAACCTGTCTCACCAGTCATATTCACACATGCAATGTATGATGGCTTTACTACAAAGTAGATCAAACAGATTACTAAGAATCAAGTACAACAACAACAACAAACATAGTATAGTCCCACAAGTGAAGTCTAGGGAGGGTAGATAGTACGCAGACCTTACCCCTACAATGAATGTAGGGAGGTTGTTTTACGTAGACCCCCGGCACGAGGAAAATCACTGAGAATCCAATGTTGAGTTAAAATCAGAATGGTTCCCTGAAGATTACCTGCAAGTCCAAGACATTGAACACATTTCCCATATCGTCGCGTTCAAATGGCAAATCAGGAGCATATCTCCATTGTCCATCAACAACAAACCGGTAATGATACACGCCTGACGGCAACACCTTCATAACACTGAAGTCCTTGTCTGTTCTTTGTAGGAAATCTCTATTGCAAAAAAAGTTAAATTAAATCACTTTGTTAACAATCTTAAGTTTTTTAAGGGACTGAAAAATGCAACAAAAGAAACAAGAATCAATCAACATACCTTGTCTTCCAACCATCCCATGATCCCTCAATAGCAACTTCATTTCCCCCATAACTCCATGTGATCATTGTTGGTATCCCATTTTCACAAGGCATTTCTCCATATTCCATTGTCTTTTGCACTATGTTTCCACTTTGATTTTGCATTGATATTTCATCAGGCCTTTGTAAAGGGAAAATTGGAACCTGTACATTAAAGTTTCTACAAAGATGAATAGTTGGAATTTTATTGAAAATCTTTTACTTTGTAGAACAGTGAAGTATCAGTTTTCAAATTGGAGTTTCAGTGCCTGAATTCTACCAAAATTTCACTACAACAACAACAACCCCAGTGTAATCTCAGGGGTCTAAGAAGGGTAGAATCTACGCAAAACTTACCCTTACCTTAAGAAGGTAGATAAGCTGTTTACGGGATACCCTTGGCTCAGAAAGATAGAGAGGAAGGGGTAACAGTAAGCAACAACACCAGTAAACCAAAAAAAAAACTGAAGCGAAAGAAACAATAAATAATACTAACAGAAATCAAATAATAAGAATATACAAGACTAACACCGAGAAAACTACAAAAATTCCACGGAAAGAACTTAAATAAGTGAGCTGTAAATAAAGGGCATAGATTTATGCAACACATTTAATGTGTTGGTCCCCTCAATTTTTTTGTGTCTAACAAATGGCCAAATGATCTTCTTGTGTGTCCTTAAACGTACCAAACACAACATATTAACCCCACATAATTTGTACAACAGGCAGGAATATTATACTTCTTAAGTCTCCCAACTCCAAAGTAAATGTACAGCTTCCTCCATTTCAGGCAAAAAACCAGCTACCATATACATTCTTCACACACAATTATAGTTCAAGAAAAGCTTTAACAATTTAATTAAGCATTCCATTTTAAGTAAAGGGCAGTCCGGTGCATTAAGCTCCTGTCGTGTGCGAGGTTCGGGAAAGGCCGGACCACAACGGTCTATTATACACAATTTTATCCTACATTTCTGCAAGAGACTGTTTCTCTTTTAAGTATCATATCAAAAAAAAAAAGTAGTAAAAGGTTCTAAAGAGATACTATCTTTTTGGTTCTAATTTAAGCTCACTGTGGCCGGAAATAAAACATTCTTTAGAAGACTTTGATTTTCTTAAAATAGCCACGGAAAGGCGTAGCCTAATGGTCAATATAGCCTAATGGTCAATAAAGTGAAGGGAGAACAAGAAATTTTCTGACTCAAATCCCAACAGATACAAAAAATACTAGGTGATTATTTTATCGGTATGTCTAAACACTGGTAGGTAGAGTAGTCCGGTACTTGTGCCGGTTTCAGACACCACCGTTATTAAAAAAAAAAAAAAAAAAAAGGAGAATTTTTCTTGAAACAAAACCACATACTACAATATACTTCACCCCAAATAAAAGAATACCAATAATATACCATAACATATGGTTAAAGGAAGAAAAATTCTATCTTGATAATACCAACATAAAAAATTAAAAAAATGACAACACAGTTCACTAAGTTCCCGCTATGTGCGAGCAACGGAAAGGACCGGACCACAAGGGTCTATTATGCGCAATGTTATCCTGTATTTTTGCAAGAGTTTGTTTACACGGCTTGAACCGGTGAACTCGTGGTCACGTGACAGCAACTATACTAGTTATGCCAAGCCACTTCAATAATGCCAACATAACTGACAAAAAAATATACTAGTGACTTGTTTTTTGAGCCTCACCTGTGGAGTGAAAATCAAAGGAGACTGATAAGCTTTAGGGCTATGAGGAGGAGACTGAACCATAGAATCTGGAAACTGACCATGACCATGAGCATACTCCATATATTCCTCCTCTTCATCTTCTTGATTCTTGATTAATCCAGAGGTCTCACCTTCTTCTTTTTTCCCACTCACATTTCCCATTACTGCATAATACAAAAAAAAACCACTTCATATTTCATACACAGTCATCTAAAAACCATGTCTAAAATTTTACACACAAAAAAAAAAAAACAGAAATTCCTACATGTATTAAGAAAAAAAAAGTGATAAACCTAGATATTATTCAGAGAGTTTGAGAGATTTGGTAACTTACTCATTAGTAGTATTATATTATTCTGGTTATATGTATAAAAATAGAGGGGTATTCTGAGAACAGCCTCAGAAAGCAAACCAAGAATTTTAACTCAAAGGGAAGGTAACATGATTTCTGCAGCTTTGTGTATAATTGATTGATAGAAAGCTTTTTTTGTCATTTTTCTCTCTCTTCTTTCTTTTACTTCAACTGCTACTCTTCTCTATCTCTCTGAATAAAGAAAAAGAAAAAAAAGGCAACTGAAATAATGGGGAAAGAAAGTGGTTTTATTCTCCAATGAGTTTGGAAGATACTTTAGTGGACTAATGATGTTTTGTTTAAATAAAGGAATGTTCCATTATTTTGGTAAAAAGTTTCATCTCAGGTTGTTTCTTATTACAGTTCATGCAGCTTCCCCAATCACATCTTGCAAACTGCACACAATAGCTTCCGTTAAATTACTTTTTTCTCCTTGAACCTTACATAGTATTAAAGTTCGAAAGTAACCTTATTGAGCTATTGGTGTGGGTAAGTCGACCCAGAATTTCAACTTTATGAGTTCTAAATTTTAGAACAACTTTAAGTGTTACATATATAAGTGGCTTCTAAATTTAATATTTGTACATATTTAAAGAATTTCCTAACAAAAATAAGTTATTTAAGCAAAAGTTATTGGATTCGGCCGAACCCATAACCGAGCTTCTAGCTCCGCCCTTGTGGGTAACACTTGGGTGCAGGGGCGGAACTCAGGGGCGGTTCAACGATATTGGTGGCCTAAAGCCAAACTTCAATAAGAGGCCTTAAATTTATTTAATAAAATTTATTATATTATTTTTATGTTTTTTTTTTGTGGTATACCGATCATCTTGTACGTATCTTGATCATTCATTCATTTACTTGCTAGCTCTCACCATTGCAAATATTTTGTAATTCTACTCACTAAGGCTTAGACAATATTTTTATGAGAAACATATATTGACGGTTAAGATAATATTTTTTTTATAAATTCTCATAATCTAATGATCTCAATTTTATACCACTAAATAGATATTAGTATAATTTCATGAATTTAAATAGTTCAAGTCTATTTCAAAGTGACAAATGTATTTATCCACTCTTTATACGAAATAATCAACTCTAAAAGATATTACAAGAGACTTCATTCTTTAATTATCAAAGTCGTTATCAAGTTGTTTATTTTCATATATTGTATATTCATTATAAAATTCGAGTTATTTACTTGAATAATCTCTATCACATTAATTCCAAACAAAGAAGTATAAAATTTAGTATCTTTTATTAATAACTTTATAATATATAATAGTATATAATTTGAAAATTTTGGGGCCCTTCAATTCTAGGGGGCCTAAAACAATCGCTTTAGTGACTTTTTCCTAAAGCCGACACTGGCAAAACTAAAGTACAGCTAACTGATTCACTCGAACCTAAAAATTTTAGTTCAAACTTTAAATTTGTCTTAAAAATAAAATAATATATATATATATATATATACATAAATTTTAAATTCTAATTTCATCTCTCTTTGGGTGGTATGGTGGTGATGTCGCATATTCTGATTCGAATTGAGTAGACTCTAAGGTAGTTAACTATTGAAATTGGTTTAGAAATGTACTTTAACTCCATGATTAGCGATTTATGTTAGTTCCTAAGCATGCATAGAATATTATTTTTGTAATACTAAATGGACGTTATGCGCTTCCTCCGTAAGGACAGATTTTAATTTTATATTTGATGGGTTTAACTTTTTAAAAAAATTAATATTAAATTTATTATCTCATAAATAATACTAACTAATATGTTATCTCATGTCAAATTGCATTAACAGTATAAAAAGAATTCTACATGCATATAACTTAGATCCATTTTCAAAATTAGCTATTCTTGCTAGATTGAGCTTCTTTTTACGTATTTCCTGGAGACAATTGCAAATTAAAATTTGGAGACTGTGTCGGTTCTCCTTAATTCCTGTGTTTCTTCACTTTTTCTTGCCTTATAATGAGTGATCACAAATTAATCTCATACAAATTATTAGTACCTACTTAACAAGATTAATTACTTAGCTTAATAATCTTAACCACTAGTTTACATCGCAATTTCCCAAATCTAAAGAAAAAGCAAACTTTTCAACCACCCCTATAGTTCTAATAGGCCTGTGCCAATTATGACCTATTAAATTTACGTGACATTTCGAATGGTTTGGATATAGATTTGGTTGAAACTTAAAAAAAAAAAATTAAAGTTGTATTGAAAAACATAAATTTTGCAAGTTGAACTTATGTTTAGACATCCATTTTATTTGAAAAAAATTAAATATTTTATGAGTGAAATAAAAAATTTCATCCATAAACTATCCTAAACAAATTTTTGAGAACTTAATTTTTTTTAAAAATTTTCAAAAACTGATCATATTCTATGAACAAACAGTATTTTAAAAGGAAAAAAACTAATAAAAATCAGTCAAAATCTATGGCCAAACAAGGCCTTCATCTGTTGATGGAAAAACACATTTTAAATAGTAATCTGCAAATCTTGGAAAAGGAAACTAAACTAAAAGTTTAAAATCAAATTTAATTCTTCGATCCTTTGCCGGTGTGGTTGGAAGAGGTAGCCTATGATATTTTTATTTTTTTTTTGTTTTTTACCCGATGTCTGATATTCGATATTCGCATTAAAACTCGATTATATCCGGATTCGCGATGCTTAAGCCCCTTTCGAAAAAAACGCTCACTATCGATAACTTTTTCATATCCAGAGCTCGAACTTGAGTCATGCCGTCAACAGACCAATCTCATCCTTTTTACCACATGTTTTGTGGTGGTAGTCTATGATTCTATAAGGACAAGAGCTACCTATAAAATCTGTGACAAGATAGCCAAGCTGAAATAGCCAAAAAAAAAGTGTTTAGTATTGAGTAGTCTACATGTGAAATGCTAACTAGTCTATATATCTAGGGTGCTGAGGAGGACAGCTTTTACCAATTTTTCTTTTAAATTTGATCATTACGTATTCAAAATTTATTGGTTCGAATAATTTATATTTGTATTATATAGAATTATTAAGAAATTAAAGTGTCCCATACTAAGAGCTTGTTTGGCCATGAAATTTTTTTTACTTTTTTTTTTAAAATCAGTGTTTGGCCATAAAATTTTTGATTTTCACTTGAAAATGAATTTTGAAATTTTTTGAAAATTTGAAAAACTGCAATTTGAAAATTTTCACTCAAATCGCTCACAAAAATTCAAAAACAATCTAAAATTATATTCATGTCCAAATACAACTCTAATTTTCAAATACCATTTTCACTTGAATTTTTTTTTATTTTTTCGGATTTTTACAATTTTTATGCCCAAACACCCATTTACAATTCAAAAAAGTATTTTTTTTTTTCCCCTCAATTTGAAGTGTTTGGCCAAGCTTTTTTGAGAAAAAAAAAGTGTTTTTGGCTAGAAGCAGAAGCAATTTTGAAGAAGCAAAAAAGGTAGCTTCTCCCCATAAGCAGAGGCAGAAGCAGTTTTGACTTTTCTTCCTATCAAAAATACCCTTAACAAAATATTATATATACCAAAACAATCTTACTTAGTTTAAGCTATTAAGTAATATATAATAAATTTTGGGATAAACTTTCATATTCATTGAATGTTTTTAGATATATTCAAATCGTCTTCAAATAATAAAGTACTTTTTAATTTTATTTTTATATTTTACTTAGATAAAATAAAAGTACTTAATTATTATCTTTAATAATAAATATTTGTGATTATTTATCTGACTTATATAACATTAACTATTAAACAAATTTTTTCATGTTCTTATTCCTAATTTGACACTTAAAGGCACTTTTTGAAAAGTTTGACCAAACACAAGTTGTTGCTCAAAAGTGCTTTTCAAATCGATTACACAAATAGAAACTGTTTTTCTTCAAAAGTGTTCTTTCGAAAAATACTTAAAAAAATACTTCTCAAAATAAGCTGATTTTTCCAGTTTGACCAAACGAGCTATCATCAGTTTCAAACTCAGCGAAGTTATGAGTTTGAATGAACCCAATAACTTTGGGTTCAACCTTGTATATGTGAAAATTTTTCACTAAATATATAAGTAATAATAATATATTTCAAACCTAGTAAATCAAATATGACTGTTGTAGAATTTCAATCTCAAACTTATAAAGTTAAAATTTTACTTCCGCTTTTTAAATACCCTACAAATTTTTAATTACTATCACCGCCAAATTTACCATGTTCTCCTCTCAAGAAAGATTACTGCTCCAAATCCCTCTATCCATGCGATTTGCCCTCCACTTTGTCTAGTCTAGCTATGTGTATATCTTGTGTTTCATGAGTACAAGAGCTGAAAAGACCCGATAATAAAATAATTATAGATATATAATTAATAGATTCTTTTTTTGTTGGAATGTTTTTGAAATAGAGATGTGCCTGTGAATGATAAGATTGGGAAGATATAAGGGTTTGGAACCTTGCAAGTAAGGTAATGTAAATTTGCTTAAATCACTTTAACTGTTATTCAAATCACGAAAAAAATAAGTTTCAAAACTAAAAAAAGAAGAAGATGAATTGAAAGACATCATAATTTAAGGTTTCTGATGCAAAATGAGTTGAAACACGTGTGCAAACAATAATAACCTGTTAAAAAAGTTGAGTGTTAAAAGAACGTTTACCATATAACTCAAGAACGGAAAAGAAAGTGTTGGTGGCATCATTACAACCCTAATTCACGAGTTACACGTACTCCTGTTCAGAGCTATATCCTCGTAAGTTGAAGGTGAGTCGTGTACTGCATAATTACCTTTTCTTAATACTTTTTCCGTCTATCTCTATATCTTCTTAGACCCTTTATCACCAACCTCTCACACCTTCTATTATAACTTATACAATAAATTTATTAAAATAAATACAAAGTTTAGACCGAGATTACTGACTTCATCCTAACTCGTTACTCATATTCTTGCTTTTAGTAAAATATTAGTGAAAAATTTCACCCTCTTTCATTACTGAGTTAATTGAACAGTTTTGCTACTTTATGGACTTCCACACTAATTAATGGTCATTTTCAACTTGTACCACCCTTGGCCAATCAATAATATGAAAGGTTTTTAAGTGCCAATTGCACGAAGGAACCTATACATTCTATTTGACACAAATAAAGCAACATCGGGGGAAATAATTTGGGGCATCTCTTCCTTTTTCTTGTCCAATCCTAGCATAACAAGAAGCTCAAAAAAAGTTAATATCAGATGCTAGAAAGTCATAGACTAAGGTTACACATGTCCATATGCACATTATTAATGGGGCCTAATTATATGACCTAAGAATCTGAAGCTT